CCCCGCCACATGCCATCAGCACGTCATGCTGCCCGAGTCTCCCAGGTAACACCTACGTCATCAAGGCTGTTGGTGCCTCTGCTTACTGAATGCTGTGATGCTGTTCCACAGAGCTGGATGGAAACCTGGTATCATCTATGCAAATGCCCCCACTTTACAGGTCAGAAAACAGAGGCCTAGAAAGGAATACTAACTTATTAAGGTCAGCAAGGCACCTCGCCCATCTTCCAGACTGGAGTCAACAACTCCCGAGAGATCTTTTAAAGCTGTGGAGACTTCCCTGTATATGAATGTATGTTTTATTCTTAAATCTGCATGAAGGAACAGACTAGTAACCATATCTACTCTCCCCATTCCTTCCTCTTTCACTCACTCAAAAATAAATAAAATGGAAAAGAAATATTAAAACTGAGTGGCAAATATGGAATAGAAGCCAAGGAAGCAGAGGCCCCTAACATTCTACACTTCTTGAATTTTGTTTCCTATTCATTTCTTTAAAACAAAACAAAACAAAACAAAACAAAACTGGGAGAATTGAGTCCAAGGGCCAAAAATGAAAATGAATCACGATTCTAAAATTATTTTCTTTCATCTGGAATTATTTGATAAATATAAAACATTGAGGAATCCATGATCAAAAGGGGAAAAGGAGTTTCCTGTCCTTCTCATTACCACCCTTTACTCTTTCCTGTTTAGGGGGCAGTGACAGAGCTGACACTGGCCTCCTCTGGCCACTGTGGTCGACACCTGAGGTAGTGACTACACACAGAATGCACCCGGCTTCACACAAGCCTCCCTGCCCGCCTCTCTGCGGCAAGTAGCCGCCTGTGCTTGTCTCCCTGGCAGAGTTCCAACGTGGACTCTCACAATGGCCCACGAGGCCCAGCAGGGCACATAATTAATCCAAGGACCCAACATCGGGCGGTGGACCAAGGAGGACCCGCACGCACCAGGTCCAAGATGCCAAGTACTTGTAACTTCGCAGCGTGTGTCCACAGAAGGGATGGTGCCTCCACCAGCCCCGGAGAGGTAGGGTCACCGTGACCCTCTCATCTTCCTAGTAGGCTCCTTGGGGTTAGGGGATGCAGAGCTGCAAATAAGGAACGGCTTAGGAGAACCATTCCTCAGAATTTAAAAGCAAGGCTTGACATTGCAAACATCAACATCTCCTGGCACCCGCACCAATGCGCCTCTAGGATTTCAGCAAGGGGAAAAAGGTTCTTCAGCACACATCATTACTGGGTTCAAAGGATTTCTTTTTCAGAAACGCACACTCAAAAAACATAAAATGGAATATTTAAATTACTGACAGTAATTTCCTAGCAATCATGAGAGATTAGACCAAGTTCAGTTTTGCTGTCTTGAAATCTTCTCCATCAAGCTCCTAATTTAGAAAAGAGCTTTCCCTTCAAGTGCCGGCAACTTCTTAGACCAAATCAAGGCAGAGATAATATATATATATTTTTAGAAAGAATAAAAGGCTCATAGTCTCTTAGGACAACAAGAGAAAGCCTCACTCCTGGCTTAAAATGCCTCATAATAAATAAATGCATACATATGTCAACATGGAGGCCTTGGTAATTAAGAATTTTGCTAAAACAGATTTTTAAAAATAATTTTAAAAATACTCTTTATATTAATTTCTATGATTTCAAATTTCAGGGCCTTTTCTTATTAACAAAATTAAATATTCTTGCTATATTAGATATATATAACTAGAGAGAAACAGCCTCAGGTAGGGGAAAAAAAGCTGAATGAAAAATGACCAGGTAAAACTGGTGGGTTTGGGGATCCCTCCATCCCCAGTTCTGTCCAACAGTCAGCATTATCTGAGGAAAAGGGAATCCAGAACCACACATTCGTGACCTAAGCCAGGGAACTCTGGTCTGATCCCAACACGTGCCATCCAGTATGGGACCCATGTGCCGCATGTGGTTTCTTAAATTTAAATTAAATAAAATGATATAAAATTATCCATTCAGTTCCCCAGTGACACCAGCCACATTTCACATGCTCAGCTACCACATGGGCTACCACGCTGAGTGGTGCTGCTAAGCTCCCCCAGCGAGGAACGTGCTCCACTGATTAGATCAGATTCATGTCTATCAGCAAATACCTGCCGAAGGAATAAATTCTCTATTAGCTGATGAGGCTGTGTAAAATGAACACATAAACACCCAACCAGAGTTCTTAAACCTTAAGAAGCTCTGGGTGTGTTGGCAATGGCAACTGTACCCCACATCGCTGTTCTCCATTATCTTCTCTCATTACTAAAGAGACAACTTTCCTAATTTCTTTATCTAAAATTTGATGCTTTTGACAAATATTGAGTCCATGGGCCATATATTGTCTGCCTTGACAACGGTCATGTAGCTATCAAGAAAAGAACATCCATTATCTATGCCACACAACATATTCAAATGCTAAAATCCATTTTACACGCCCACGCTCTTATGCTACCACACAAAACAGATACGACACTGCAATCTTCCCATGAGTATCCTACAAATATGGTCAAATACACACATGACAGCACCTCAAACGCTGGCCCCAAAGGCCACATCCATTCAGAATACGCTAGTTGGGTTCTATCACCACTTTGAGGATAAAGACTGCACCTTCACCCCTCTCCTTATATTTCTTGTGTGGTCCACCTCCTGGGCGGTAGCTGGCTCCACAAAGCCAGTCAACTTACAGCATGGGGATCGGGGCACTCCAGCTTGAGCTGACCTTGCTGCAGATGCAAAATCAGAAGGCTCCATTACTCAACTGGCTCAGCACGAAGGTACCCCGTCTTCTCCAGGCACCCACTGTTCCACTCTCTTTCACTGGCTGGTTTCTATTCTAGGCCGAGCCTTAGCACCACGTCCTTCTTTGAAAGCTCACTCTTGCCTCTATCCAAACCCAAAGCTGAACCATTCCTTCTGCTTGAGTTGGTCTCTGAAGAGGGGTATTCTTCTACTCTCCGAGAGTCCCACTCAACCTTTCAGAACCAATCTGCATTCACTCACTCAAACAAGGGACTGCTGGAGCAAGCTGTCGGAAATTTCACTTCTATCTCTTAGAGAACATTAGTACATAATTTGCCTTGACTGAGATGTGGTTTTTACATGAAGGATAGGGGTGGTTGGGGCACCCATGAAAAATAATTGGCCAGCCAACCAGTATCGTATAAAAATGTGAGGACATTACAGCTTCAACTCGAAGAGCAAAATCAGAAGACCTACTGATAGAGGAAGATGTGAAGAGTTTCTCCTCACAAATGCTGACATCTCCGTACCCTCTCCGTGTGACTTTACAGGAATAATCAGGTCTCTGCTGGCTCATGGAATCAGTCTCATGCACCCACGTGCAACCTCCGCATGCACCTTAGAGCTTCAGATTTTTATACAGAAATGAACATATTTTAATATCACTGTTGCTTCCAATCTTTTGGAAGGGAATGAACTTGAAACCTTCCATCCTTAATAGCTCCCCTGAAGAAGTAAGAATAAATTGCTTGCTATTACATTCCTTCACAGCATACCTTCAGAGCTTCCTGGGTAGGACACAGTCTTTCCTGGTATTTAACACATGGTAATAGCCACCATTTCCATGCGGCAGCAGGCTTACGCTAGGTGGTTTAAGTCATTTTTAGCTTACAGGCTATTTAAGGTTATTTGCTCACACAAAGCATTCACCAAAAAATAACAAAATGCTTTTCGAAGGCAGAAACATTTGACTTATCCTCTTGCTATTTCAGTCACTTTGAGTTGCCCAGGAGACAAAGGGCCAGAGAAAGAGTGGGAAAATGTGAAAATGTGGAAAACCGAAGCTGGAATATAAGGTGCTGTATCTTCCACCAAGGCCTCCAAGTCTTGTCCACACAATCTATCTCTAGCGCCTCTGGAGCATGCGGTGCCATCTCTAACCTCAGGTACCAGTCAGTAGCTTTCCTCCTTACCTGCGCAGAGAAAAATGGTAGCAACACCACACCAACACAGTACAATTTCTGAAGCACCTTTTCCTCCGTCCGTACTGACTGAGAAAGCCGTACAGCAACGTCTGGGAAATGCTAGCGTGTGCAGAGGTAGCCTACAAGAGACATGTGCAATTCCACGCAAAGGGGGCAAACGGCTGATTAGACCCAAAGGATGAATTTGAAAACGAAGGCACCCCAGAGAGGAGGAGGGGGTGGACAGAAGCAGGAAGCTGTTCTGCATGATGTGACAGAGGAAGACCAGCTAAAGGGCAGAAGAGAAAGATGCCGGCGATGTTGGTGATGATGACGAGCATACGTGGTTGACTCAGATACATTTGGTTTTTACAGTATCTCCTTGACTATCTCCTGGAAAAGAGCTAGGACCAGACGACACGCTCTTTATTTTAGCCTCCTCCACTGTGTTGAGGAAGTATTACTCTGAAAACTCATCCATCTACAAACACTTAGAGAGCGCTGCTCACAGCATGAAATTACAAAGCACATAACTGTCCTTACCGGGAGATGACTAAGGGGCACGTCCACTTGTCCCAGGAAGTCGTCTCGTGTCTGTTGAGAAGAAAGAGAAGTTAATGTTTCCATTTATTCCACTGAGTATCAGCATTCTTAAAAATGTTTTTTGGTTTGTTTTTTTTTTTTTTTTTTTTTAAAAATAGAGATAAAGGTCCAGGGCTTGACACAGGAGTACAGTGGGGATGGGTAGAAGGCAGACAGCCCAGATGAGGCACAGACAGCTGTTTCCTAGGAGACCGGGGAGCCCAAGGCCTCACACACCTGACCTTCAGCTGCCTGAGCCTTTTTTTTTACAAATAGAGATAAAGGTCCAGGGCTTGACACAGGAGTACAGTGGGGATGGGTAGAAGGCAGACAGCCCAGATGAGGCACAGACAGCTGTTTCCTAGGAGACCGGGGAGCCCAAGGCCTCACACACCTGACCTTCAGCTGCCTGAGCCTCTTGAGCATCCACTATCCAATCGAATGGCAAGGGGTCATCTCTTGGACCGGGGGAGTCAGGAAAGGGACACTCAGGACCACAGAGAGTTTGGGGGGCACAACTGGACCAGTCTCAAGAGAAGAATTTTAATGAATATTTATTGATCAAGTGCTATAAACTAAAGAGCTCCCTGAGAGCCGAGAGTCTCGGTAAAGAATATAGACTCTAGTTATTAATAAATCTTATAAAGTACTATCACGAAAAAAATGGCCTCAGTCTTTCAATCTAGTAAGTACACTGCTTCAGAATCCAAGTTCATGGATTAGTCCTGGTTAGTTTTCATACACAGCACGCTTTGTCCTCTCTCCCTCTTTCTACTAAACAGCATAGACCTTGCTGACTTAAAAGGGACCTAGATGAGACCCATTTGGAGAAGCTCAGGCTCTGGGAGCCACCTTGAAGTCCTAACTCAGATTCAGGGGTCACTGACCTGGACCACAGGTATCTCACAGGTCGTGTTTACACTATATCCTGTCAGAGTGCTTGGGTCACAGCCCCTGACGTTTACATGACCTGGGGTGCAAATCAGAACACAGTGACTTCTGTTACCTTCACATGGAACATGCAGTTGCATCTCCCACATTCGAAAATGCCTGAAAGCTGGAAGGTTCTTTACACGTAATCAGACCTGTCCCACAGCTTGCTTGAGGAAAAGCCCAAAAGAGAACCCAGACCTCCTAACTCTGAATCTTGGGCTCCCATCTTCCCTCTTTACTGGTTTACCACGAAATTTTCTCATTCACAAAAACTCGTTTTAAAATGTCTTTGAAAAATATCTCTTTTTGCATTTAAAAAGCAGCAGCAAGTAAATATGAACGAGATTTAAGAAAATGATTTGCTCCAGGCTTAGGATTTCCTTTTAGGTAATTTAAAAAAAATGTAATTAACTAGAAAGCTACTTGTCTCCTCTAAACGAAGCATGAAGGATAATGGAAAATCAAAGTTACCACTGACTGGGTGTGCATGAAGCATGAGACCACCCCAATCCTTATGAGAGTCTCATTTCGTTTTCTCAGCTCTATCTGCTACCACCCGCCATGGAGATACCTCATCTAGCACCAGGGAGTAAGGTGCCAGTATACGCCGTACACATCACAGCAAAAGAAACAATCAGCAAAGGCCCAGAAAACGGAGACATCTTCGCTGTCTAAGGTGTTAGGGAGAGTTCCCGCTCCCCATTTGGCTCATTTAAATATCAGTTAACTCCACAATAAAAAGAAAAGAGAAAAGAAAAACAGAAGTGTGGTGACTACTTCCTGACCATAAATTGTGTGTCGACCTAACTGCCATTTGTCCCCTCTCCCTTCCTTCTCCTGGTGCTGATTCTGTGAAAGAGACGTGAGGCGTGACCATCACCAGAAGACAATCTTACTCCGGGCTCTGTTCGCAGCCTGCTGCCTTCGAAAGGTTCCTCACCCACCGTTCACCTCGGTGCCCTGCAACAAACATTCACACGCCTACACGCCCACGGCGCGTTGCTGGGGAGATGTCACAGCTCTAAACTGATCGAACGAGTTCGGTTTTGCACCCGCCACTAAGGGCTCCAGCAGCGATGCAGGGACTGTGCCAAGGCCACACCTACCCCTCACAGCCACCGTGGGAGGGAGGCGCTATTATTAGTCCCATTTCACAGGTGGGAGGTGGGAGCCTAGGGACCAGGGAGGATGCTCGAGGCTGCTACCTGGGCGGGCTGGTTCCAGAGTCTGGGCTCTAAACTCAACATCCAGCGGGACTGCACGGCTGTGCACCAGCTTTGTCTCGTCAGAATAGAACGCCGGTTCTCAACGGTGTGGCTGAGAAGGGACTCTGACGCGAGCTCAGTTTTGTGACACTTGAGGGAGGGCGGTTCTGTTAAAATGCCCAGTTTGCTGTGTTATTATGACAGCACCTCCTGTTCCAATGCTGCTCCTTTCCTCGAGTGAAACAGTTTGCTGAATCCCTGAGGCCCTAATCATGAAGCTAGGCAGCTTCGCTCACGCTTCAACGAGGCTTCTCGTGACACTGAAAAAACCAGTTTCTAAAACAGTCAGAGATGGAGTGACCTCACCTTTAAACACAAGGCTCCCGTTTCTGGTTTACATCAAGAACGACTGAAATAAAATGATTTTTTCAAATAAAATAGAGATGAGGATAGAACAGCTCGTAGTCACAAGCAATCGGCTTAAATAAGTGTTTCATCGGTCAGCAGGACATGTTGGTGAGATGTAGGTTTCAGAACAACCCACTGTTGCCAAAACTGTAGAAATTTCAGGCAATATAAAATATTTACCAGTTTTAAGACATCTCTTCAGTACCACAGAGAAGTCTAGCAGGGGGCCATCGGGGCTACTAGTGACCTTGAGGCCTAGATGAGAAGCAGGAGTGTCTTGAGGACACCTGGGTTTGATGGTAACAGAAGTTAGGGACAATGTGCTGGACTGGGAGGGCCCCAGGTCAGGGTCATCACAGTATCTTTAGGTCCTTACTGCCACAGGATGAAATCTTACACCAATGCTATAAAAATGCATGAATCGATTTTTAATAATCTCTGTTACAAAATTATTTCCATCAAGCATCATGTTAACCATAAGAGGCTACAAAAACCAAATTAGTTTCAACTCACATAGTGAATACTGGCATTTCTTGTCCTTATTTTTAAGTAGTAAATGCTGTTCATGTTTAACCTCGATTATCTGTCCAACTGTTTGATTTAAAGTAGCTGTTCCCTTCTGAATAAGGGAACAAGCGCTTGCCACGGTAATGGAGGCGTGCCACACCATGTGTGAATGCCACTGGAACCCAATGCCTGGCGGCTGTCACATCAGCTCCGATGAGACGCTGTTATGGCCCTGGGGCACGCCCCAAAGCTTCCAGGGCTGGGCCGGAGCTGCCAGCACGGAAGTGGACACCAGGCTTGGTTGTCCTCACCACTAAATAAAACCGAATTCCTCAGAGAACACAGTCATGCAAAAAACGACACAAACTTCTGATCTCTATAACTGCACTCATAGGATGTGACCTGAATTCTATTACACGCTGATGGCCAGGGAGGCCGCGGTGAGGGCTAGGCCTGTGCATTTCACGTGGAGGCCGAAAGGGAGGGCAGAGGGGCTAGGTGGGGAGCGAAGCATGGGAAGCAGGTAGGGGTGCTCACGGGGAGAGCTGGGGCCACGAAGGTGCACTGCGAGAGGTGTTTCAAAAAGGATTGGCGATTCTTGCAGAGAAAAACGACCCACACATAATACTGGAGCTATATATTAAGGCAGTGTTCTTGAAAGTGTGAGCTGCAACTCTACTCGTAGTTGGCAAGAAGCATTTTTTAAAAAATTAAATATAACCGAAAATATTGGTGTCTCACATGAAATACTGAGCAAGTACTGTTTCGAGAAACTTGTTTCGGTAGCATACAAATGTGAATGTATTAGTTGTGATCTAAAATTCATTTCTTCTTGTGTGTCGCCATCACAAGTTGAAAAGCCACTCAACACAGCAAATGAAAACCATCCAGCACTACCAATCACCTGGGGTTTTATCCTAGAAATCATTAAGCAGTGACTTCCAAGAAAATTATACTTAGAATTTCTCAAGACAAATAGAAGTATAGAGGAATGAGAATATAAGCTACAGGAAAAGAATTTAAGAGTAAAGATATATATGATTTGATCTTTGTACCTTACAAATCAAGGGAAACTTCACAACCTCTAACACTCAGCCAGAAAGATAACCTTCACTTTCTCTCTAAACCATTAAGTGCAACTTCCGTGTGTGCTGCTGCTTTGGAAACGTGTGGCCCCACACTCAGGCACTGACGAGACGGGGGAAACGGGATCTATTTTTAGGGTGATTTGGGAGCATGTACTCGGAATCATCTAAATCATTAATGGCTTGAGAAATTCAGACAAATGTTACACATACTGTGACTCTTCAAGCGTCACCTGAATGTCAAGATGCATTCAGTTTCCGACACGGTCTCACTCCTCACTGCGGCATGAAGTCAGTTTTGTCTGTCACACACAAAAGGAAGGAAGGCTATCCTTGCTTCTCCATCACTTGTCATCCACATCGGCAGAAGTGCTGAGGCTCATGAAGAGAGAGTGAGTTTGGCCTCCCTTGCCAATCGGCGTTGCATAATCCAACATTTCACCACCTGGTGCCTCTGGCTTTCAAGGTGAATTGTTTCAAAGTATGTTGTCAAAGTAACCGTAATCAAATAGTCAACTGGCATTCCACCAAAAGTCGAGATAAAGGTACAATGACGAAATCCTCTAAAGGCACACGCTCTTACCCAGATTCACTCTATATGCACCAGAATACAAAGATCAAACAACACTCAGAGACTTTCACGTAGATGTTCACATTAGCCTTCACTCCGCCAGCCCCTCTGCCACTGAGGGACTAAACCAGCCATACACTAACACAGAATGAGATGTGTCCTGGAGACTCTGGCTCTTATTTACAACAACAAACAAGACCTCCATGTCAACCAGATGTCAGAGCAACCTCACAGGACTGTCACAGGCTCCTGTAAAACCACGCTGGGAGGCGGGCGGAACTAAACCACACGGGCTGAATGTGT